AAACAGCGCAAGTAGACAGGGGAGATGGGCATATGGGAAGATCTGAGGTTTCAATGGAGCACTTTGGGGCTCTGTGAAGACTAGCTGGTTGTCTGTGCATGCTCTGAGCAGGCAGGCTGCAGGCCCCCAGGCCAGCCAGGTCCTCTATGTGGGCATTAGTTCCCTAGCTGTCCCTGCACACACACACACACACACACACACATACACACACACACAAACACACACACGAAGCCCACCCCAGTGACCACTAAGCCCACAGCTTCAGCCAGACTCCCTGATGGGTCCCAGCCTTGGTCACCTGCCTGTGAGGATGTGAGGATCTGATTCCAACCTGTTTCCCAACCCTCAGGAAACAGGAAAGCATGTGTGTTCTCTATAGATCTGTGAAGGTGCTTCTCCCATATCTTTTCCTTCCCAACAAGGAGAGGCATCCAGCAGGGGGAAATTCTTCCCCAGGGTGGCACTGAGGTTTGTCCCAGACAGGACCCTCTGGGATGATGAGAAGTGGAGCCCAGAGAGCTTCCAAGAGCACCAGGGAAGTGGGACGGGAAAGCTGGAGTGCTGTTGGCAAAGAGAACCAAGGGAGCAGGTGGGAACACACAAACAGAGGAAACTTGCGATGACAAGAATCAACAGGACAGGCCCCAGGTGTGGGGACGAGACCAGGAAGTAACTCCTTAGGTTCTGAGCCATCAAAGCGCTACACACAGAAGAAGTGGGCAGGGCCAGTCTTGCCTACGTGGTGCTCTGACCACTGTTTCCTGACTAGGAAGAGGTGCCTCTGTGTCAGCAGGAAACAGCCGCTATAGAGGTGTGACTAATAGGAAGGGAAGTATGCTTTGTAAACTGTAAAATTCTACACACGTTTGTTCAATGGTATTCTGCAGAGCATTTATCTTAGAAATTGTAACAGGCAGCCAGGCAGGTGAGACATCGCAGCAAAGAAACAGGAAGTCCATGCGGAATTAGAAAGAATTGTTGACCATGGTTGGGGTGGGGCAGGGGAGAAATGGTGGACATTGAGTCCTGGGACAAAATTCAGCCCAATCCCCCATTAAGTTTTCTTCCTTCCTTTCTTCCTTCCTTTCTTCCTTTCTTTCTTCCTTTCTTTCTTTCTTTCTTTTCTTTCTTTCTTTCTTTTTTTTAATTTATTTGACTGAGAGAGACACAATGAGAGAGGGAACACAAGCAGGGGGAGTTGGAGAGGGAGAAGCAGGCTTCCCGCCAAGCAGGGAGCTCGATCTCAGGACCCTGGGATCATGACCTGAGCTGAAGGCAGACACTTAACGACTGAGCCATGCAGGCACCCCAAGTTTCCTTTTTTTGTGGGGGAGGGGGAGAGAGAGAATCTCAAACAGGCTGGAGCCCAATGCGGGGCTCGATCTCACGCCACCTGAGCAGAAATCAGGAGTTGACACCTAACCCACTGAGCCTCCCAGGAACCCTTCCACTCCTGATAACTTTTCAGAACAGCCTGGGAAGGCATGAGCTACCTCAGGTTTCATCCTGATCCCTAAGAGGTTGTGCCCACTTCTTCATGAAGGTCCCAGGAAAGTGAGCAAGTGGGGATTACCAGCTTCATTCACTCTTGTATCCATTCAGCCCAGGTTTATTCAACACCTATTATGTGCCAGGTCCTGTAATAAAAGGTGTGATTACAACTGTGGTAAATACTATAAATACTATACTATATGTACTATAAATAAATAGTATAATATTATAGTACTATAGGAAATATATATATATTTATATATTTATATATATATTATAAATATATATATTTCCTATAGTACTATAATATTATATATTATATATATAATATTATATAATATATATAGTATATATATACTATATATATTTTTATATATAGTAAATATATATATAGAATATATATATATAATATAGTACATATATTTATATGTACTATAAATAAATACTATAAATACTACACTATATGTACACAGGGCCATCAGGGCTATAAACAGGATATAGAAGTATGAGCTACAGAGTCAGTTATATATGGGGCTGTCCTTGGGACAACAGGACTAATCTGGTAAAACCAAGGAAATGTTGATAATTAAGCTGAGATCCAAAGGATGAGTGGATATTAATTGGGTAAAGAGGGGAGTAAGACTGACCCAGGCATAAGGAGCGGTCTGGTCGCGGCTAACACCCCCATGGGACAGAGAATGACATTAGCCTTCGTTGTATAACAAGTCACTCCAAAACGTAGTGGCTTAAAACAACCACCACTTTTTGTTCTTTTAAACCCACCATTTAGTGGGTCAGAAATTTGGGCTGAAATCCGCCAGGCAGTTCCAACAATTCAGGTCATACCGTGGCTGATCTTGGCTTGGACTCACTCCTGTGTCCGAGGCGGCCGCCAAGCCAGGGAAGCGCTGATGGACCTTGCTGGGAGCTTCCGATCTTCATTTTGTGATCTGCACTCCTCAGCAAGCTCTGCTGGGCTTCCTTCACACGCAGCGAAAGGCTGCTACCAGGCAGCCAAAAAGCACAACTTCCAAAGGTACGTTTCATGTCTCCGTACCCACCGCACCTGCTGCTGTCTCATTGGCCAAAGCAGGGCACGGGGCTAAGCCCAGAGTTGGGTATGAACAAATTGGGGGCTCTAACCACAACAGTCTCTCAGCGTGTTCAAGGAATTGAAAGGAAGAGGATGACGAGAGAGTGAAGAGTAGAGAAGAGCACGGTGTGGGTAAAGCTGTGGGTCGGGGAGCCAAGACACACAGAGCCTCCAAGAGGACAGGAGTCTTGGAGTCTAGGAGTCTGGTCCTAGTGTAGCTGATCATCACAAATAAATCCCTTGAAGGCGGATCTGCCCTGGGTGAGCCAGTAAAATGGACTTTCTGAGCTTGAGAAGCTGAGAACAGGATGTGGAACACGGTATCCCCCCACCCCTGTTCCTGCCTGCAGCGCCCCCTGGTATAAATGCCTCACACTTTCTCACCTCTGTGCCTTGGCACCGGCTCCCCTCTCAGGAGAAGGCAATCTTCCCACACCCAGGGTAGGGCCAATGCCTGCCTCTCCAAGACTGATTTCAGGCAGCACCACCTCAAAGAAGCCCTCCCTGACTTCTCTAAGCCTCCAAGACCAAAGGCATGGTCTTCGACATGGTCCAAAGACCAAAGACCAAATGACACCGTGAGGCCTAGGGGGAAAGCATGTGCCTTAGTACAGTGGCCTTGGGGTTTCTAGGACCAAATTCCTACGGGACCCAAACCCATGCCTGTTTGGCACACACCTGGGGGCATGTGCCTCACCAGTGCTATACCCATCTTTTTATCTGTCTGCCTCTCACGAGACAGTCTTGAAGGAGTATCCATAACCCCAGGGTCTGTACACAGAAGAGTCAGAAATACGTGAATGAGTGATCCTATCCCTAAACAGGAGTTGCCTCTAAGGCCCCAGTCCATGTCATTAACGCCATCTGTCATGGCAGTTAGGGGGCCAATAGCTCCAGTGTCTCCCAGTTCCCCCACGAAGCCACCCACCCAGAGGAAAGAAGTGTCCCAGCTCCAGGACAGTCTGAGACAGGGCAGTGGGCAAGTGAAGAGCAGGGACCTCCCTGGGAAAGAAGTACCACAGTACCATTTACTATAAACAGGGGAAGAACTGACCTGCTGTGACCTCCACTGGAAGCCTTCCCCAGGGGAGCAGCCGGCCGGGGGAGCTGAGGGAGAGATCCCTGAGCCCTGATGCCAGGAAACGAATTTATAGGTTGCCTCACTCACCACAGGTTGGAGAAGAGGAGCAGGTGAACCAGGGGGTGAGCAGAGGGCACCAGGCCCTGCCCACCAGTCCTGACAGACTTTTCCAAACTGTAGTTGACGTGCAGGGGTATAAATCACACTGACTTCCTTTTGCAGAGAAGAAATCTGAAGTCCAGGGAGATAAGCCTTTGACTTGTGGGGCCCCCTGAGAAGTCATGGCCACCCAGATAGTGGACTACATTTCCCAGCCTCCCTTGGGGTTACGTGCGGTCCTGCTGACTGGGTCCTAGCCAATGAGACATGAGTGGAAGTGACGTCTGTAACATTGGGGGGGTTGTTCACAAATGGCAGAGCTGTGCCCTCCTTCGTTTTCCTCCTTCCCATTGCCTAGTGAGCCATCTTGGACAACATAGGCGAAGGCAACACCTCAGAATAATGGAATAGCAACAAGATGGAAAGAGCCTGGGCCCCTCCTGTCTGGACACACAACCCTGGGGCCACCAAACCCCGCTTAAGCCAGCACAGGCTGTTAAACGAGGAGGAAACAACATAGCCTGTCTCGATGAAGCTTTTATCTGAGTTATTTGCTATGGCCACTAAATCCATATCCTCCTGACTCACAGAATATAGCCCAGGAGTGAGTTTCCTCAGGAAACCCAGGACCCCTGGGACTGCTTGATCCGAGGGACTCTCATTGTCCCAGGACAACAAGGCTGTGGCCTCCACTCCCAGGGCCAGCTGTTTTCTTCAAACAGCCGGGGAAGTTGCTCCCTTGGAGGAAGCTGCTACACTGCCAAGGATGGGAAGGGAAGTACGCACAGCTGATATCCCACCTGCACTAGTGGTTACAACACAGAAATACCTCCAGGCCAGCTGACCAGCAGCCACTGCCCTGAGCCACCCCACCCAGGGAATGGGCCCCCTTCCCAGCCATCCAGGCCCCAGACCCAGCCATGAAAGGGGCAACACCTGGCACAGGAAGGGCCCACCAGGACTTCACCCTGACCTCTGGACATCACGTCAGCAAGCCACGCCACTTGTTACATATTTTGAACATCACCCCTGGCTCTACGGGGCCTGGTCTCCACCAACTGAGTGCAAATGAACCACTGAGCTCAGTGTTGACAGTGATAGAGTGCCACTAGTTCTGAAAGCCAGAGACTGGCCGCTGAACCCCCGCCTCCACCTTCTTCTCTCTCATCCCCCAAACCAGAACCGCTTGGCCCCACCCAGGCCACCCCTTCAGAATGTCCCACAGTCACGCCTAGATATTATTGCACTCTTTTATTTACAGAAAACACAGATAAAGCATTTCAACGTTCATTTAGCAAACTGATCCACTTTTTTTTTTCTTTTGGCACAAAGAAATATTACAGATGGACCCCGAGATCAATCAGAAACCCATAAGATTTATCAGCCGTCACTGGTCCAGGGGCAGCCACAAGACTCAGACAGACAGACAGCATCGCCACAGACTGGAAAAAATAAACAAGGTCCACATTCACCTCACAGTAAAAACCTGCTCAGGGGCAGGCAAGGGCAGGCCGGGGAGGGGAAGTGGGTGCAGCCTGTTCTCTGCTCCAGGGGGCGGGCAGTGGGCACTGGGGGCAGAAGCAGGATGGGGAGGGATTAGACACCATTCATAAATTAGAGAGAGGTGGCCTTTTTGTTTTTACCCTCTTACCTTGTGGAAGTAAGACAGTGCAAAACTACCAGACCCCAACTACTGGGCCACTGGAAATGCTGCAGAAGTTCCCCAGTTTAGGGGTATCTCTCCTTGTGGGCGCCCGTGTGTGCGCATGTGTGTGTATGTGAATGTGTGAGTGTGGTGCTTGTAAACATTGTCACCATCCACGCAGAGACCCAACAGCCGTGTGTCTGAATGGGGGTGGGTTGGGGGCTCTACCCCGCTTCACGCCCCCTCTGCCCCAGTGATTCCTGTCCAAGACATAGTGCAAATTTCAGAGACAAAAAGAGGCAGAAGGAGTGGAGGGTGGGCGGGGCCTGTTGGGGTGGGGGTGGGGCGGTGAGAAGGACACAAAGACCCCGCAGGAGAGGGAGGGGGAAATAAGGCAACAGTTAAAAAACGGTCCATTTTATCAAAACCGACACCATGTGCCCCTCACCCCCGCCCACGCAGCCCTCGTCACGAGAAAGGGCGGAAGTCCCGCTCCTCCACCAGACTGACGGAGGGGTTCTTGAGCTCCTCCTCCGACATGGCCATCTTGTAGCCCAACTGCGCCAGCACCCGCTGGCAGGCGTTCTGGGCAAAGGCCACAATGTCGTAGGAGAGGCGGAAGCGCCACTTCTCGGCCGTGGCCGCCGAGTTTCGGACGGTGCCGTATTTGTGCTTGCCCAAGGTGGGGTCGCCCCGCGTGTTATTCTGGATCCAGCGGGCCACATGGCTGTCCAGAGGGATCCCCAGGAAACCATAGATCTCCTCGGTCTTCTTCATGGGGTTCCTGGCCAGGTCCTCGTAGCGCACCAACATGTACTTGCCCTTGAGCCACGGGGGCCGCATGAGGCCAGTGGACACGGAGTTGGAGAAGTCCTCGCACACCGTGGTCAGCTGCGTCACATCCAGGTTGTAGGGCTTCCTCCCCGTGCCGTACCAGAGCCGCCAGAGGCGGTAAGTGTCGCGGAACGTCTCGCTGCGGGAGGCCAGGATGCCACGCGGGTCTCGGACCAGCTGGATGACCTTGAGGTTTAACCGGGGGTCTTCAACCAGGGCCCGAAGGTCGTTCACCTCGGGCACCCGCACCGTCTTGATGGCCACGTGGCTGCGCTCACGACAGGCCTCGGCGGCCACCGTCAAGTTCAACAAGCCGCACTTGCGCACGCAGTCCCCCTCCTCCAGCACCAGGTCGGGGGGCCCCGGGGGGTCGCACACGGGGCGGGAGCACAGCACCCTGCTGGCCCCGCGGCGGAAGATCCTGTCGGTGGTGTGGTTGACGGGCGGCGGCTTGATGTAGTTCTCCAGGAAATAGAGGTCACAGTCATAGAGGCTCCTCAGGAGGTCGCGGCTGGCGCCCAGCATGACGCGCCGGTCCGCGGGGCTCTTGCCCTGGGTGAAGCGGGGGATGAGCGTGTTCTGGACGTGGTAGAGGGGCTCGAACAGGTAGAAGACGTCCAGGTGCTGGTTGAAGAGCTGGCCCACGAAGGAGGAGCCGCTGCGCGTGGTGGCCAGGATGAGGATGTGGGTCTTGCGGGAGAGGTTGTAGGTGAAGGTGGGGCCCTCCTCGCACAGACGCTCCGCCAGCCCCGCCTCCGCCAGCCCCGGGCAGGTGTGGAAGGACTTGGCGGTGAAGGTGCGGATGGCCGTGTACTGAATGGCGATTGAGGCCAGGGCAAGGAGGAGGACGGCCTTCCAGGAACATTGCATGGCTGTGCACCTTCATGGGGCTGCTTCTCCACCATGCGAGGTCTGCGGGCAAAGGTGGGCGTCCATCAGGGAGCAGGCTGCGCCAGGTGCATCACCAGACCAGGGGCCCTGGCCTGCTCTTTTGGACAGGCTGGTGTCCATAGGGTCCCCGAACCTACCCGACTCCCTGCCGGATGCTCACGCATGCGCCTAAGGACTGAGCAGCTTCTAGACTAGATTTCTACATTCTCTAGGAAATCTTGGGAGCTTCTGGGGACCGAACAAATTGACTTCCCACATGCAGAGTTTAACGAATGCTGCAGGGGACTCCCACCATCAACCTGCAGTTCCTTAGTGGGCCCCACTGTGCAAGAAGCTATCTTCCCCAGCTCACACACTCTGCGGCTCACCAGTCCCTGCTTCTAGCCATTCCCCTGCCACTGCCTGTCATGCCTGCCAGCTCCTCTGGGGCCCACCTACATCTCTCACCCCCACGAGCAAGCACCGGGCTCCCCATGAGGTCATCTTTCCTCCATTCCCCCCCACCACCCCTAGAAGGAAAAAGAGCTTATGTCAGAGGCACACCACGAGGATCTGTTCACCTGTACCCACTGGGCCAGGAGAGGGGGACAACTCGTCAAACCCACCTCCCAGCTTAGGTTTGCCGGTGCCCAGTGTACCAAGATGAGGACCCCCGGGACTCCCAGGGCCAATCAGAGTCAACCGGCCCAGTGAAAGGTCCAGGAGCTGCTGCAAAGCATCCTTTCCCAGGCCCCAGCACCCTCCAGGTTTGCTCCTGGCCACTGGGGCAAGAGGTCCAGGCGTGGGGCAGATGACCCCCACTGACAACAGGGTGAATGGGCTCCTCTGGGACCCCCATCCCAGCCAGTCCTCAAGGGCCTCCACCATTAGGCTCTCAGCCCTCTGCCCACAGGGGGCGCTCAGAGACTGCACTGGGACCCAGCAATGGCGCCAGAGAACCAGGCAGGATGGAGAGAAGAGGACGGGGTGGAAGAAAAGGGGCATCTCAAAGAACGGAGAAAGCAAGGGTGGGCCCGGGGCGGGGGGCAGCCAGGAGAGCAGGGAAAATGAAAGACGTGCCAAATGTTCAGAGCAACGGGCCCGTCGGAGCATCAGGAAGTTGCCCCGTAGAGAGGCTGGCTCAGCTACCAGGCCCCAAGGGAAGGCTGGGGCTGCTCCCAGAGCGAATGCAGGAAGGGCTCCCCGACTCACCAAAGAAGGGCTGCTCCAAGCTAGAGAGTCCACAGCTGCCAGGTCTCCTGGCCTAGCCGGCAGTCCCAACCTGTACAGCAGCCCTGTGGCCAACAGACTGTAGAGAGAGAGGGAGGGGAAAGGTTCTGGGGCGGGGTGGGGGGGGTTGGTCTGTCAATATCGCCCTTCCCACCCCTTCTCTCTTACACCCTGTGCCCCACAGACTGCCCCCCAGTGCTGGCCGACAAGGGCCCTGGCTGCTCTCCCAGATCTATCACTGATTCAGGGCTCCAGCTATGCCAGGGACACATTTTATCCCCTGGGATCTGGCCTCCTGACTCCTGAGCCTTCTATCCACCTGCCCCACCCCCTACCCATCCCTTCCTGGCAGGTCCAAGTCCCTCACACCAGGACCCAGTGGGCAGGGAGCTGGCAAGCTTATACCCTCAGCTGACCAAGAGTGGGAATCCTACACAGGCAACCACCCCAGGGAGGACCCCTCACACCCACCATCCAGGGGAGTTGCAAAGAAATCCACTGACCACAAATAACCTGGGGCCTCCCTATTTCTGTTCAGCTCTGGTGACCAGACACAGTGCTCAGCACCGAACCATGGAACAGCATCAGAGTCAAGGTTATTCCAGAAAACTAGGCCGGAGCACAGTCCCGACTGGTTCTGTGTTTTAAATCAACAGAACAGCCGACCCTTCAAAATTTGACTTTTTCAGTGACTCCCCAAGAGGGGTTTGGTAGAAATCACCAAGGCAGGGGGTGCTCACCCCAGACCTCCAGGTGGAAATGACAGCTCCGTCCGGACAGCCCAGACACCGAGACCCGCACAGAAGGGACAGCCAGGGAGGGAGGTTCTTCTTCCAACCACACTGGAGACGAGAACAGCTACCTAAAACTCAAAGCATAAGTGGACCAGGGAGCGTTCCTGACCTGGATGCTATCTGCGGATTCTAAGTTCAAACCCAAGACTGTGGCATTATTTCAGTTAGCATCCGTCGAATACTTCCTAAGCCCTTTACCTGCGCTTGCGCATTTATTCCGCACGGGAGCATCACAGGGAAGCATCACTCCATTTCACAGGCGAGGAAGCTGAGACACAGAGAGAGGGGTGACCTGCCTGAGCTCACGTGCCTGGTTTAACACACATCTCACAGGTTCCCCAGAGCCCACACTTTCCCTCTGAGGACCTGACCTTGTTTCCCCAGCTTACACACACCTGGCCTTCATCCAGTTGATGTCCCCAGCCCATGTATAAATCAGCCAGAGAGAGACTGAGCATTACAAGGGTACAGACGATCTGTAATGTAACACTTAGAGATCCTTTCCTTTGCTATGGTCTTGTTGATCAAAGTCTTGTGGATCAACGATCATGGCTGGGGGTGGGGAGGGGGTGAACTTGTGCTTTGTGAATATTCTTCCCACATCCCGCTATTTGGCACAGCTCCTTTCGGGGAGGGGTTCCTGGATCCTCAGTTCCCAAACCTGCCCTGCTGTGTGGCTCAGCCAACTCCAAACACCACAATATTCCTTACAGCCCCCTCTGGGAGGTCAGGGTCCTCACCTGTTTAGGTGGAGTAACTGAGGCTCAAAGACTAAGCAAATGTGCAGAAGCAAATAAGGAATAGCAGAGACTCAAATCCATCTGCATCAGACTCTTGGGCCAGTGCTCTGGCCCCTTTGCCATCAGCTTAGCGGAGAAAAAACAGAGCTGAAACAGTCTGGCTGCCTCCAGGAGGGGCGCAGAGGCTGAGCTCAGAGAACAGTGGGCCAGCTGAGGCTCTGGGGCTTAAGAGTCCAATTTTAAGTTTGAGCCTGTGCTCAGTACCTACAGGGAAGAGTACCATGTCACCAGGTGGCGGTAAATATGGGAAGAACACAACCTAGACTCTTGGGAATCTCCAGTGTGATCACAGAAAACCACAGCCCTTACCCCAGCCCATCCCACCCCCACCTCACCCCAGGGCCGCAGAGAATGCTGACTCCATCAACTTTGCTGAGGTGCCCAGAGAAAACTGCCTCCTTGCATTAAATTAGATTCTCCTGCAAAATGCGAACCCACCCTGCCTAAGTGTCCCAAGACAGATGCCTCTAAAGAACAGGTAGGGAATACCATTAATAATCGTACAGGTAATATTTTTAAGTTATTTGAGTAAGAGTCCACAGCTGCAGTGTCCTAATACACATCTTTAGGATGGACTCTTTTTGTACTTATTCATAAAGATCTGTCAGCTATCCAGCACGATGCAGGCTCTGTTCTAGGAATTATGGATGGGGGAGAACATGAGGGAAGCAAGCACTTACTGGGTATTCATGATGTTTATATCCCAGAAGGGATCACAGGTTAGGGCATAGGGTGGGCGTGAAAAACACCTCTCGCCCTCACACCAAGCCTATGTGGTTGATGTCCTCATATCCCCATTTTCAGATGAATTTCCCCAGCTCACACTCCTAGTAAGGGGCCAGAGCCAGAATTCCTGCCCAGGCTGTGTTCTCTGGAGCCCATGCTCAAATCCTCCTCCTTGACCCACTACATTTAATCCCCTTTGGTCCCCACCAAGACAGGAAACAGAAGGCTGGGGGAGATTTCACTTTACTCCAAGATTCTGGTACCACCAGAATTCACCCACCAAGGGGAGCCTCCCTACCACCTCTTCCCACCCCAACCCAGAGAAATTTAAGGCCAAGATTAGAAACCGCTGCCTTGGCTAATAAATCAGGAGTAAATGAAGGATCTCATTCTAAATCCCTAAGAAAGTGGGGCTCGGATCCACAAGGTATAGCCTGAGCAAGGGCAATGTGTTCAAAGGCTTAGCCTCAGGCCATCCCCCTGCCTCCCAGGAGGGCAAAGTGAGGGCGTGGGAACAGGAAGATGAAGAAAGTCAGGCCCTCCTAGAAATGCCCCCACTCTCCTGCCAGCCTGGCGGAGCCGGGCTTAGGACTGGCCAAGCTTCCTTGGTATGCTGGAGGCATCTGCCCTGGAAACCAGAGGCCCCAGGACCAGGTCCCTCTGTTCCCAGGGGAGCTCTGGCCACTGCAAGGAACTCTTCAATGCCCTTGTCCTCCAAGCCAGACTGCGAGCCCCACGGCCCCTCCCTGGGCTCTGATCAGCCTTTGGCATGACCTTCCTCCACCTCTAGGTAGTCAAAATCCAGGCAAGCCTTAGTCACAGGAGCTCAGAATCTATAACTTGTGTTGGAAGCCGGGGATTCAGTGAAGTCCCAGGGGAAAACTCAGGTTTCTGTACCAGCCACCTTCAGATTAGGGCACAGGGTGGGAGTGAAAAACAGCTCTCCATTGGGGAACTGGAATTCGTAGCTCAGGGCTCAAGCCACGGAACCACACCCACCTGGATATCACTTAGCAGGTATGTGGACCTGGATTCACTAGCGGTCTCTGCACCAAAGTTTCCCTACCCATAAAGTGGGTACAACCACAGCAGCAATTGCAAGAATTGAAAGAATTAAAGCATTTAGTCGATGCCAGGCATAGAATGCAGCACAGCCGCGTGCTTGGGACGTGGGCTCTGGCACGAGCCCCACTGATGACCAGGTTTCTGAATCTCTCTGTGCCTCTGTTATCTCACCGGAAAAGGGGGGATCAGTTTAACACGGCTGTTGTGAGGACTAATTAACCCAGTGCCGGGCACAAAGTAAGTACTCCATGAATGTACATTGCTATCATCATCATTAAGTGTCTCGTCCGCTTCGTGTCTCGAGTAAGCAGGTGAGAACAGATCTCACTGACTCTGACGGTTAGACAGACACTCTCGCTGGCTGCGGTGCCCAGACCTCTGCCACGCCGGCCGGCCTCTGCTCCATGCCTTCCCTTCCTTCGGCTCCTCTCCCAGCCCGAGAGCTTCCCGCGGCTGGGCCACCGCAGCGGCTTGCCCGCTGCCCTCTAGCGGTCACATCCTGTAGTACAGCCTCTTGGCCCTGCGTTCTTCACTGGGTTCAGAATTCCCTGCGGCCAGTGCTACCTGGGGCCCCGGGGTGAGGATTCAGCCAAGGGAGGTGATGTTGCAGGATGCCGTGAAGTGTGATGATGACACCCCCACCCGAGCTGTGGCCTCTGCTCTGTGCATCCTCTCTTCTTCACCCACACACCAAGAGGCAAGCATCAGTGGGCAGCCCCACTTCATCCAGAGGGCCTCTCCTACCAGTTTCATTCCTCTCTAGCAGGGGAAAAGGATCACTCAGCTCAAGATCACAGGCAGGAACCGCCTCTGCTTCCCCTGGCCAGGTGACCTTGGACTCAACCGCTGGCCCCTCGCTGGCCTCGGTATTTCCATTGATCCAGGCTAAGGGCCTCCAAGCTCTGACTACTAGGGTTCTCTGATCCCAGGAAGGCCCCATGCTCCATTTTCAGGGTCAGAACGCCCCTGCTGGCAGGGGGATGCTCCTTTGGGAGCAGGAAAGTCCCAGTCATCTTCCAAAGACGTTATCAGGGCTGGCAGCTGGACCCTATGCCCTCAGCCCCGGCCAGGGCAGCCCCCAGGGGGCCTAAGAGCCAAGGGGCTCCACCCTCTGCTGGGTTAACCCCCGCCCCCAGCTTCTACTCTGTATAACCGCATCTAACCCAGAGCTGTGGCTTTGGCCTTTTGGGGGCCACAGGCCACTTGGAAAGACACGGTCGCTATTTCCAGAAAGATTCCTTTGCATCCACAACTTTACATACACAGTCAGAGGGTTTGTGGACCCCCCTAAAGCCCACCCATGGGCTTTGCAGAGGCTTCAACCCCTTTACGAGAAGTGCTCTCCCCTGCCCTAAGGTTTTCTTTTCAACTGACCAGATCAGAGAAGCCTCCACGGATTTGTATACACGGAATGCAAGGCCACGGCCCAAGATAAAAAAGCCAGAGCCAGAAACCACATGTGCAATAGTAGGTTACTACTTCTTGTTTTTAAAAAGGGGATGAGTGTGAGGGGGAGTATTTATATACATTCATATACAACCACTATTCTGGTAACCCCAGTTCCCCCAGCGGGAGGGGCCAGGAGACTGCGGTGGGAAGAAAGCAACTCACACTGAGCCTCTCAGTTCTGTCTGAGTTTACTAACTTTCTGGGAGACAGCAAAGCCGCCCCGTGCAAGACCTGGAGGGGTGGGGCACTGAAATCACACTGGCAACTCACTGTGCCTCCAATTCTGTCCCCCAGGGCACTGCCAGCCGGCTCTCCCCTCCCCCACCTCCAAGGCACCAGGGTCAAAGTCACTACCTTCCAGCCAGAACTGGGCTCTGTCTGCTCAGGCAGGCCACAAAGGATGGCAGTCAGAGGGTGCTGCTGAGAGACACAGGTCAGGAGCTGAAAAAGAGGGAGACCTCCCAGGGGACAGGGGCTGCAGGGAGGAGTGGAAGCCTGAGTTGGGGAAATGATGCCCCTCCCCACTTTTTCTTCCTAAAAACAGCTTGTAGAGCTCTGTGGAGATAGGGAGGGTAAAGAATAAAGTTCCTGAACATGAGATTTCCGACCAGCCTCAGGAGCCAGTAGCCAGCAGCCCGGAGGCTCTCCGGAGCCCCAGGAACTGGAGCAAGGGGCAGGGGGGACAGGACAGGGAGGAAGGAGTTGGCAAACAAGCCTCTGGGAGAGACTGCAGAAAGGAAGTGCTTAATCCCTGGGTCTGCGGTAGCTAGCAGTAGCCAACGCTGACCCACCAGAGATGTTTGTTTAGTTAAGGCTAAAACATGTAAATCAGCAAGGGTTTTTTTTTCTTCCTTAAAAAAAAAAAAAAAAGTGAGGTCGTGAAATGAGTCAAGTGAAAAACAAGGGTATGAAAGTCTGAAAGAACCAGAAGCTAGGTTAGCATACAAGAGCCACGACACTTCCAGGCAACCCAGCTGGGTCAGAGCTGCCTGGCAGCCAATGGGAAAAGGGAAATACATCACTTCATG